TATATATATATATATAGATATGAGTGGCATTTCATTTTAATTGTGCAAAAACAGATTTGTGGTTTTTTTTAAATCAATTTGTTTTTTTTAAACAGAGAAAAACCATGATCCCTGGTCCAAATAAAACCATTTCACAATAAACTGTATCAATAAAATAACTAAAAAGACTTTGGAAACTTCCATCTTCAAATTCTGTTCGCAAAGCATGTTCAATTTTATTCTATGTCCTCAGAATGAGCCCATCCGGGAACATGGTTTCATTTCCAATTATGTGTTAAAAAGCTGTAACTATTTAGGTAGGTATTTGTTACAAATATTTAAAAGGTATTTGTTATAATTGTTAGTTTTCTTTTAAAGCATGCTTTCATATTAAGTATTTGATGTTTTAAAAGCTGCTGTTCTAAACCCAACCAACATCACCTACAGTAACAACAGTTGCCAAGGCTCCAAGTTTTTTTAAAATGATGGCAGTTAATTAAACTAATTTTGCTTTCATTAGGATGTTATATATTTAGAAAAAAAGAAAAACAAATGCCCTCTCTCTGCAAACAAACTTACAGGATCTCTCTCAACTATTCATGGATAAAAGTTATATGGCCAAGTAAACTGCATTCATGACCTGACAAAGACCAAATCAGTACACATATGCAATAAAGCAAGTTTCAAACCTGAATAAAAGCAGATGTACGTTTTGCAGGATCCCACAGAAATTCAACTGCATTGAGCTGGCTTGGATTTGTCTTTATATCAATTACTCCAATTGACATTGGAATATCTAAATAAAAAAGTACAAAATATAAAAGCTGTGAGCTAACTTGAATGTGTTCTGAATAAAAACCTGTTACTTTACAAATGACCTCAGTGAAGCTTGTTGTCAGTGGCCACACGGTGCTGACAAAAACTTCGGAGTTTAACAACTGTGGTCTTCTAATAAACATGGCACAGAACTGCAATCTGTCTCTGAGGAATAATCGGAGATAGCAGCACTCAAGGGCAGGGCAGGAGGTGCACCCTCATTTGGCTGTGTTGCACTTGTAGTAGCTCTGAGCTCACTACCTGGTCAGCACGGACTCCTGCTGGATCTCCACATGAACAGTGAACATTGAGCTTACCAGCTGATAAGGTGGGATCTACTCAGAGCCTCTGCTTTTGGGTGGCTCTGGAGCCCAGGGGGTGAACACTGCTGTGTGCACCCTTCTCTGGGCTGAATTCAGCTGCCGAAAAAGGAGGCAGATGAGCAGTGGGAAATGCTCACTCTGAGCTTGGGAGCTGCACAAAAGCAGGGGGGCTCCAGGCAGACACTGTGCCGTGAGCTCAAGTGCAGTTGTGCCACCCCTTATGGATCTACCCCTGATGTGAGGTAGTCTTAAGACACAAGATTTTACTATACATCTTACAGAACTGTCACTTATGAACTACATAAAATTATCACATACAAAATAAAAAAACAACAACTTAGAACTCCTTAAATATCAAATTATGCCCACTTTGTGATGTCTTTACAATCTATTTTTATAAAAATATTATTTTTGTCTTCTGTTCCCAACTACTAGAAAAGATTTATGATTCTGGGGAAAAAAAAGAAATATTAGTAGAACATAATTACCATACTTTCTTCAATACAACATGCTCCAGAATATACTATGCGCCTTGTTTTTGAAAGGCAAAATAAAGAAGAAAAGTTTTTTCCAGAGGTATGACTGCACAAAGCAGGAACAGAGCCTAATGTTCAGCTGATTCACCCTGCCTTTCCTGCTCAACTAAAGCAGAAAAAGGAAAAAAGGATCAGAAACCAGTAGACAGCAAAACTGTCCTAAGAAAGGTTGGCTTGATTCATTGTACATCAAAACCATTAAAAAGAAGAGGCAATTATTATCACGTGGGAAGTGAATAATAACAAGCCAGTAAGTCAACCGATTCCCTCAGCTGCCTGAATAGCAATGCTGCTGCATT